TGCACTTAAAAGTAGCAGAATTACAGTTCTGTAATTGAAAAGAAAAAGTAATTTTCCTTTAATCTCAGGTAAAGTTTGTAAATCGCCGCTAACTCGCCAAAAGCGCAAGGGGCTTTCAGAGAAAGAAAGGGCCACTCGAGCGGCGAGCGCGACACCTGGCCACAAGCCGAGACTCTGCTGGCCCGGGACATTAAATGATTCATGCTGTCTAGGTAAAAGAGGAGAGCTGTCGCTATCTCGGGGTCTCTGGCACTGCCAGCATCTGCAGGTAGCCTTGTTATGCTAATGTCTTGGGAGGCTCTTTGAAGCCTCAATCATCTCCAAGATGGCTGATGAGAGAGCCTTTTTATGCCTGTCCAGAGGGACTCATTAGTCGAGAGATGGTGGGGGGGGGGTGGCTGGCACCCCGAAAGGGAGGGAGTAAGTGAGCGAACGAGCAAGGACTCAGGAAGAACAGCAGAGATCGCTTCACGTGGACAGATTGCTATCATACAACTTACTGGCACGTATACAGACCGAGTTGAAGATGTCTGTTCTCAGCGGACCGCCGATGCTCTCGTGATGTGGGGCCAAGAATAAGAAGAAATGAGATTCTCAGAGATCGCTCCCAAAAACAGCACCATTAGCGCACGCTAGCAGACTAAATGTTGCCAGCCACTGACTGCGTTGTTTGTTCTAGTATTCAATAAGGTCACTTCAGGTGAAGGATTTTTGTAGTCAAACTCAAAGACCCTTGGATCGTGCCGGAGCGCAGAGGATATATTTTCTTTCACTCGCAGGAAGCAAAGTTCTCTGATTGGTCTGCGATTCGGGATTTGGCGAGGGAGGAAAGTTGGGGAGAAAAAAAAGAAAGCGAGAGAGAAAGATCTGTGTGAAATCGCCTCAATCTCTGCTGCTTTAATAAGAAGCCCAGAGCCAAAGGAACACAGCCTCAAGTTCCACTCCATCGCTACACTTAATAACTTCGGCCTCCACTGTGGACGGAGAAAAAAAATTCACTATCCTCCTTATTCCTGTCTCTTTCTGTCTTTCTCTCTTATATAAACACACACACACATACCCACATGAGCACACACTCGGTAACTGTGTCTTCCAGGGCGCCTGGATTCTTTAATTAAATAAATGCAATAACCAAAGAGTCTGGTGGATTATGACTGAAAAGCACTTTTTGAGATATGAGGGTAAAAATTAATAATGAAAGTTTTTTTTTTACCCTCATATCTCAAAAAGTGCTTTTCAGTCATAATCCACCAGACTCTTTGGTTATTGCATTTATTTAATTAAAGAATCCAGGCGTCCTGGAAGACACAAAGTTGCCGAGTGTGTGCTCATGTGGGTATGTGTGTGTGTTTATATATAAAAGAG